ATTTCAAGATGTAATGAGTTGGCCTTCCTGACCAAGGCTTATAGAGTGAAAGATATTCAAAGAGATGCTCAGTGAATGAATTATCAATTGTGGAATTGTGGCACAAGGAACTATTTCCAAGCTTCCTTTTATCAAATATAATAAAGAAAGTTCAGATTAAGATAACTTTTCTTCACAATACTTTTTACCATTTTTAAGGTTCTATTTGACTGGGTCCTTTATACCCCATCCTATCTCAGTAGAAAGGATATTTATTAGTAGATTTAAAGAATCTTTTTTTCCATTACATCCTATTTTTTTGCCACAGGAAGGCAGCAGTCTCTTGATAGTCTGGATAACAGTTTACTGCTTTGATCCTCTCAGTAGGAAGCCTTGTGTTACTACCACCTGTCATTTCTTTCCCTTCAGAATAGAGACAGAACTCCACCCCTTTGCAGATCCCAGTAGACTTCTCTATATCATTAATGAGGTTTGCGAAAGCTCCTTTTCATCCAGAAACTTTACCCACAATGAAACTTTGGAATCTGTTCTGAAGCTCCAGATAGAAAACATCTTCTTGATGAGCTTAAATGTGTAACTTTTTCTCTTTCCATCTCCTCTATTTCACATTGTTCCATTTTCTAAGATGCATCTTGGTACTAATTTCTCCATAAGCGTTTTCTGTGCTTATTCAAGAAATTCCCATTTCCCCAATAACTATGGAGTAGATAGCTTTGGCACTATATTTGTACAATATGCAGCATTCTTACTATGCTCAGGAAACAAAAACAAGAACAACTTCCTCCGTTTATATCTTCTCTGATGAATAACAAGTGTCTCTCTTTTTTCCAGAACTTCCGTTAGTTCCCTCTTCAGTGTTGCTTCTTCAGTGAGCTGTGTCTTCCTTATTCTGTGGTGGCACAGTGGCTAGAATGCCATATTACAAGCTAACTATGCCCATGACTAGGAGTTCAATTCAAGATTGACTCAGATTCCATCCTTCCGAAGTTGACAAAATGAAGACCCATTGTGGGCAATATACTGACCCTGTATACCTCTCAGAGAGTATGTAAAGCATTATGGTATAAATCTAAGTGCTATTGCTATTATATATTTCCTTAAGCTTCTAGATCAGTAATAAGTAGTCCTTCAGCCACATATAATAGGCAAACAACAACATAATTTACAATCAACAGTATGGAAATCATCATCAGCAGTTAAGAATCAAATAATAGCTGTTAAGAGTAAATAAGATACATGACTAATACAAGAGGTAAAAGCAGTTGATTTTAAAATATATTTAGATTAATGAAAATGCGACAACTTTTTCTTATTTCATGACTTTCCATATCATTTTCTTTGGTAAACAATTGAAATGATTGCTTCCATTTCAGCTTGAACATTGCTAGAGATAAATTGTCATGCTTTTATGAATGCTTTAGGACTCATTTTAACATTTATTTTATATTGAGGATTTTTTTGATAAGTTAAAGAGATGTTTTAAAATGTTTGTAGTCCTTGCAACTAGTTGTACTATTATAATTGAATCTTGAGGATGTTAGGATGTGTGAAGACTTTTAAGGCCTACATTGCTTGTTGCTGTGACGGATTAAATAGAACAGGCGGCAAGGTTAAAGGAGTTAATAGGTGTTTTCTTGTGGTATAGATTAGTTTTTCCTTGCTAAATGGGGACAAAATTACATTCCATCTGAAGAAACCTGTACCTGCCATGGATATTTTGCAGTTATGGAGCAATGTCAAATTCTTTGTTTCTGTGAAAGGAGATTGGGAAAAGGTGGATCCCATGCAAAAGATATTAATTATCTGAGCATTTTTCCAGAAGTATTTGGTCAGGATGTTAACTGAAACACTCTGATAGGTGTGGTAGATGATTTACAAATGGATGTCAAGAATATGGTCCTGCTAATTCTTCTGGGCTTCTTGGCAGCTTTCTTTATCATAAACTTTGTTAATAAATTATTACTATTGCCCTTGGTGTCTGGTGATATTGTGCTTTGGATGTACTCTATTTTAACTGCTAGTCCTACTAAGAAAACATCTAAAAATGGTAATGAAAGAGTAATGTTCAACATATAGTTTTCGGTTTTATGTGGCTGTCCATAGGATTTCATCTTCTCTGCATAAAATACAGGGAAAAATCTTCCATAGGTTTTCTTTGTTACCATAAATTCTAAATAATGTGCTGTTATACTGATACTGGGGTAGATAATAATAAAGAAACTTAATATCTATATAGAAATTTTTCTTTTTAAATAGGAATAGGAATGTTATTAAAAATAAGGAATGTGACTAAAAAAACAGTCTGTTGGTTTCCCCCTCCTTTCAAAGGAAGATGCATGGTCTGTAAATGGTTCTAGCCTGAACTTGGATTGGTGGTTTTGGTAAATCATTGCAAGAAGAAGAAACCTCAGAATATAGCTTCTCTTTGGGCTAATTAAAGAATTATTAAGTGATATAATAGAAATGCTAGAGTGTAAAGAGAGCTGAATTCACCTCACAGGTTGTTGTTATGGAGAAAACAAGAGGATAAAGGTGTGTAGATACTGTAAATTTGCTGACTTGAATTATTTGTAAAATTATTTGTAAAAATAATAAACATTGTATACAAATAAGTACTTTTTAGAATTTTCACTGGTTAGTATAAAGCAAATATTTACTTCATGTAAAGCTCACATTATAAAATTGTTCTTAAAATAGCATCTAGCCTCTGTATTGGTATATAAATAGATCCCTTATAAAATTAGTACTTTGGATCAGCATTATTCTATAGAAGTTGTTTACACATTTTTTGCAGAATTAAAACTTGAGTTTTATTTGCCCCAGAGTGCTTTTTTTAATTCAACAAGCATTTGCCATTTATTTGGTCTAGATTTTATTGATGCTTATGAATTTCTACAATGGGTACAGAAATTGGGTTTAATTTTTTATTTTTAAAAAGTTGAAAGAGATTGATAAAATTAATATTAATTACATATGCAGCATTACAATACAGCAATGAATTTGGATGTTATGTTTGGTAATAATGAAGACTGTCTTTAAACAATATGAAATTAGTTTAACTATATCCCTAATTTATATATCAATGGTAACCATTTTCAAACATATGTTTTTCTTAAGCAAACACTTCTTCATTTACTGTCTCATAAAAACTTAATTTATGCTGTGTTGAGGAAAGTTCAGAATAGTAAACTATTATTTTTAAAAAATGTGATATTTTCTTAAAATCTTATCAATTTGATGTGGTAAAGAACAACATTCTGGTAACATTGCTGAATAGCATGTTATATCTCAATTCACAATTCAAAAAGTTCAAAGTTAAGTTGAAGTTGAAAAATGAATAAATCTCCTTATCTTTAGGCATAGTTGAAATTTATGTTGCAATTCTTTAATATATATGATTAAAATTGCATATTACATACTATAGTGCAGTTAGAACTCTTGAGACGATGCTCCTCTAAAATTGAATGCCTTTATTACAGATTTTTAGTTTTTACCCATAAATATATAACTAGCGAAATGAAATGCTAGTAGTCTACATTTTGAAAAAATTAATACTATTTTATGTTCCAAATATTGCATTCATACCATATGCAAAGCCTTTATGTAATCAGTTTGGTTTAAGTATACATTGGTGAAAGATTGATCTTTCAGAATTATCTGTAATCCTGAAATACAGTGACCTGTGATATTGTTTTGGGGCTGTTTTCCATCAACTGCTTGCTTCAAGTCATGCCACAACATTTTAGTTGGATTAAGGTGAGAATGGTGACTTGTACAATCCTCTATTAGGATAGTTGATATGCTTCGTGAGCACATATACTCATTATGTATATCCTAAGAGTTTCCTGGCTACTGGTTTTCTACTGTGTTCTGAGTTTTCTTTAGGCACAGGACACTGCCCCCCACAAACACAGACAATAAAACCCCTGAACATCTTGGTTGCGCCTAAATTCTGAAAAACAGAATGTAGTCAGGCATTAAACAGTATATATTCTCTAGTCTAAAGAATATCCAGGGCAATTAAAATGGATTGAGCAAAGAGAATAAAATCCATCTGGAGTTGGATTGCTAAGCAGTTTAGCCATGATTGTTAGAAGTCTCATACTGTCTTCACTGTCTAAATGCTTTCTCCAATTTTGATCTTGTTATCACTCTGTAATAGAGATATGTGGCCTGATCATGTACCAACAGAAATATTGTTAAAAAGTGTCTTTTTTCCTATGTTTTAGAACATAGTTGTATGAATTCACGTATCTGCTTAATCATCAAGCGGGGATCCTATGCTTGGTCCAAATTAATAAAGAAACATAAAATTGTACCGTGCAGCAGTGCTGCATATGTGTCTCCTGGGGTTTATTTATTTATTTAGCATATGGCAATATTACATTAGTCAGCTAGGAGATTATAATGCTAATACAGAGTAGTAGTTTGGCTGCCTAAGACTGCTAGCCCTGTTTGGTTCATGCTCATGAGCTTCCCAAGATGCACCACAGGGGATGAGCTAACTCCTAATCGGAAAGAAAGAAAGAAAGATGTGGCCTTCCTGAAGTGTCATCTGAGGCTCTCTTTCTATACTTAAGCCACCTTGCCAATGGGCCTTGCCAATGGGCTGCGAAGGTCCACTACAAGNGTTCGGAGAGCTCCCAAGGACTTCATTCATACATTTTATGGCAGATCATATGTCTGCTGTAAGATGATAATATTGATCTACCTTAGAGGATAGACTAGATTACAATGAGTTTAATTCAGTCGGTAGAATATGTAATATTTAAAATAATTAAAGGTTGTATGGAAATATATTCAATTGTTATATATTAAGATATATTTTCTTAAGGCTTATAAACAGAAAATTATAATTATATATTTACATTATAATAATCAAAAATTATTTCAACTTAATTTCATTGTGATGTGAGAGATTTTGATTGTTTTGCAATTATTACACTTTATGCTAATACTGAAGTCTAGTAACAGCAAATTATATTCTCTTCTTTTATTAGCTTGTGATGAATGGAAAATTCTTCAAAAACCAAGTCTTCATAGGGATGTGAACAGATTTGGTCATTCTGCAATTGTCAGCAATGGGTAATGTATTTCTCAACATTGGCTAAAAGAAAACACATATATCAACTGTTTAAAGGGGCCAAATTTATGAATAATATGAATTATTGTCTGGTTACCATGTAAGCCAATACTGAGTGTCCATTTAAATCAAAACTTGTAAAATATGAATACTTTCAGTATTAGTAATTTATGTATTTAAATTTAAATGCTACTTCATTTGACCAAGTGTTTGTTACAAATAAAGTATAATGATTGAAAAACCTTGTAAAAAGAAATGTATAAATAAGACTGAAATTAAACTTGAAGATTAAAATATGTTAGTCATTGAGTGAAACTATAGTAATTGTAAAAATGTACATGTGCATCCAAATATACTTTTAAAAGGGAATGAAAACAAGGCCAATTCATGGCTTTGATATCTATTCTTGTAGAAAAACATTATTATTTTATTTTATTTGATAGGTCCATGTATATATTTGGAGGCTTTTCAAGCATTTTGTTGAATGACATCCTTGTATACAAACCTCCAAATTGTGAAGCATTCAGGGATGAAGATCTTTGTAAAACTGCTGGGCCAGGATTAAGATGCTTATGGAACAAAAATCACTGTGTGTCATGGGAACTTGGACAGGATACTAACATCCTTAGGCCAAAATGTCCCAGAAAAATGGGTAGGTAAATTTCCTGTAATATTGAGAATACACATTAAACTAAATGCATGAATGCAATGAGTGCATTGCTTGGCCAATTCTGCTGTGAAAATACATTTGGATTTTAAAAATGTACATTTTTTAAGCTACCTAAACCAAGGTGACAATTTAAGCGTGTGTGTGTGTGTGTGTGTGTGTGTGTGTGTGTGTGTGTG